GTTTGTCACAAAATTTACATACTACACGCTTTGAGAAGCCCGACGATGTTGATCTTGGCATTGTATGATTATGATACTGTTTTGGTGTTTTGTTGTAGAATTGTTTTCCCTTGTGTGTAGTGTTTGCAGTAGCAATGAGAGGAGTTTCTTGCAAACTTGCATCCCTCTTTAAATAATTTTCAAAATCAGAAAGGAGGTCATGAAGATCATCAAATCCGATAGGATTTCCTCTGGTTCTTAGAGAAGCAATCACTTCTCGATAGTCAGAGCCAAGGTCATTCAAAGTGTGGATGACAAGATCCACATCGTCCACTGGGGAGTTGATGATGACTAATTAATCAGATAAAGCCTTGATACCATTGAGGTATTCAGAGATGGATTGTGATCCTCTTGTGAATCGAGAGAGTCTCTCTTTTAGGTGCATAATTCTTGCACGAGTTTTGCTTGCAAACATCTTAGTGAGAATGTCCCAATCTTGTTTAGAGGTCTTGACATTCCCCAACATGGTAATGATGCGTGGATCAACAAATGATATGATTGCATGCAAGATCAATTGATCTTGTCTTTTCCAACGTTTGTATGTTGGATTTGTTTGGGCTGGACTGGCAGTGGTGCCATCAACATAGCCAATGAGATCATACTCTACAAGGAGTGCATTGAACTGCACGTGCCAAGCAGGAAAATTGTTACTGCTCAGTTTCACTGACGAGTGAGTGTTTAGGACAATAACAGAGTTGGCATTTGGGGTAATTGAAATTTCAGATGTTGTTGAGGAAGGCATGGTGAGATTGAGGATCATTTTGCTGTAAAGCTTAGTGAACTACTGATACCATATAAATGAATGAATTTATCAAGTTATATTTTTCTAAGATATACAACTGAGTATATATATACATATATTACATAGTAAAAATTGAATAGAAAATGCTTGAATTAAGCCTAAACTTTTGTTGCCTGGCTGTTACTGCTTGACAAAGTTATATGCTTCTAAATGCTAATAATAACCAAATAACTCTCCTTTAATATTTGATGACCAATTCAAATATTCTTTAATTGCTTGATTATTCAAATTGATTCTGTTTGTCCATTAGCCTTCCCCTCTAAGACCATGTGCCACGTCCTTTTAGGTTTGAGGCAGCTTGGATCACTCACATAAAATACTTTAATATAGTCCAAACTTCTTGTGGGAAATCCCTAGATGGTATTGTAACTTATCTCCAAAATGCGTAACACGATTCTAACCTTTTTAATAATGAAATTTTAGGCAACTTGTCTCCAAAATGCGTAACACTATTCTAACCTTTTTAATAATGAAATTTTAGGCAATATCAACAAACGGAAGCACCACATTAAGAAGAGACTCAAGGGTATCCAACGCTCCTTGGAGATGATATATTCGACAAGACTAGTTTATCTCCAGCAGGAGTATGATGAGATCCTCGCATAAAAGGAGTTTCATCGATATCAAAAGGCTAGAGATGATTGGATTAAATTGGGAGATCGGAACACCAATTTTTTTCATACCAAGACAGTAATCAGGCGGACGAGAAATAAAGTCTATGGCCTTCATCTCTCTCCAATGGTGTTTAGTGCAATGATGATACTATTTTCAAGGAAGAAACATTGACTTTTTTAAAGGTATTTTCTGCCCTACATCTCCTATACTCTCTGCTAGTATGAGTGGCTCAACTAAAAGTAGTAATATAATTTTGAATGTTAATGGCAATAACCTCAATAATCTTTTTGGTGAATTGATTTATAATGCTGATGATGAATGAGTTTACAATTTTGCAGATAATATTAGTTATTCCAACATCTTTCATGTTGAGCTGATGATGCTATATCATATTTTGCGTATGACACAATAACTTGACATCAAATGTGTGATGTGTTATTCTAACTCTAACTTTGCTATCATATTTATCTGAGAGTCTCTTAATGCTTGATATCATTACATCGCGATTCTCCATAATATTAAAGATTTTCCTCTTAAAAAAGACAAGTTCAAATATTTCGTACTCTTAGAAAGGAGAATGCTTATGTCGATTATCTAACAAAATATGAGACTAATAATAATACGACGTACTGATCTGTTACATACTCTCTTGTTTAAATAACCAGTCTTATATTAATCGATGTTAATAAGACTTTATTTTCTAGATAATTTTTTTCCTTTCCCCACTTATAAAAAAAAAATTAAAATAAGAAGGACTAAAGCTCTAATTAAATTTGTAATTTATTGAAATGCTTTTGTTTTTTCTTTGTTGCACTAGTCGTGCTTTTTAATTGAATTGTCTACTTTGATATATTTTAAATATTGTTAAAAGCTATTATTTTTACAAATTATGTTCACATAATAAAAAATAAGTATAAAAACAAAATTTAAAGCATATTATATATACTTTATTGGTATATTTGTGTTAGATACAAAATATTTTTTTTGTAAAATAAAACAAAATTTATAATATAAGTGATTATTGCATAAAAAGTTAAAAAAGTATTAAAAATTTCCAAAAAATAATTAAATAATATTTAAAAAAAGAAATTATGTTAAAATAAAAATAGAATTAATTAAAAGTTAAATATTAGGTCAAAAGAACCAATGAAAATATATATAATTTGATTGACTTGAAATAAATAATGTTTAAAAACTTATAAATTAATAAATAAAATTGAAATATTTAATAAACAAAATAAAAGTAAGGTTAAATTACAATTTTTGTTTCTCTTTTTTGACCAACTTACAAATCAATCTCTAATTATTTTTTAAACAGTTTTGGTCTTTCATGTTCATTTTTGTCCAAAAAACGTTGTTGTGTACTATTTTTAAATATATAACATATTTTTATTGATTTTGTATAAGAAAGATTAAATATTCATTATATTTTCGACGATATTTTATACCTTTAATCATATTATCTGATTGTCTTTTTCATTTTCTTTTTCTCTTGACTTGTTCATTCGTCTTTTTCTTTCACCAAAAGATAATCATCATATTATCTCTCGTTTAAAAAATATATATATACGAAAAAAATGATACATCAACGTTTTAGACGAAAAATAGACATAGAGATTAACATTATTTAAAAAATAAATAAAAGAGCTGATTTCATGAATCAACCAAAATTAAAAATTAAAAATATAAAAGCAATTATGTAAATAAAAACCAAAATTTGACCCACAATAAAACCAAAATAAAAACTGCATTTGAAAACCAAATAGTACCGATCCACTAAATTTTAAAGATTTGAGTGAGAATAAAAATAAAAAATTTCAAAATAAAAATAAGATAATAATAATAATAATAATAAATGACAAATAATATAAAATATAAGGATATCTTTATTTAAGATAGGTAAATTTGTTGAACATTTATTTATATTTTTTATTAATATAAATAATTTATTTGATATTTTTAAATTAACAACTTAAAAGAAATAAACAAATTTAATTTTAGTATAAAAATATGAAAAAATCTAAATTATTTATATTTAAAATAAAATATTAATTTTTTGACGGACATAAAATAAGATATTGAAAATATAATAAGTCAAATAATTGATTAAGTATATAATATTTGATTAATATATTAAGGTACTAATTATAAATATATAATTTGTAATTTTTTACGTGAATTTTTAGAATATTTATGTAAATTCATGTAATTGAAAAATAAATATAAAATAAGATTCACGTAATATAATAAATATAAAATAGGTTATATACGTGAATTTACAAAAATATTCTAAAATCAATGTCACTTTATGAATATATTCATTTCTTTTCTTTTATACCAAACTACTAAACTAATAATCTTATTTTATATTTATTTTCTTCAAATTTTTTCTAATAAACTGTCTCGGTTTATTTTTCTTAAAAGCTAAAAGTTATTTTATTTTTCTTCAAAGACTAATTTGGATTTCCTTGTTTATTTATTGACTAATATATGTATATATATTCTAAAATAAAATAATGGTAGTAAAGAAATACTCTTAAGTAAAATAAAATAAATTAAAATAAGTTTTTATTACAATAAGTAAAAAAATTATAAAATATATTGAGATGCAAGCTCAGTAGTAAAAACTTAGCCATATAATCATCTTAATTAATAGTTATCCTTTAACAATTTTTTATATAAAATTAAAGAGAGTATAATTAGAAAATCTAAATTAAATTTAGTAAACTTAATATAAAAATATTTATATATACATATATAAAAATGATTTTCATGACCTTGTAACTTGTTTTTAATAATTTATAACATTTTATCATAAATTAGTTTCAATATTTATAGTATATATTTTGTGTAAATATTATCTTAATTGATAAAATAAATATTAATCAAGATAATAATAATAATAATAATAATAATAATAATAATAATAATAATAATAATAATAATAATAATAATAATAATAATAATAATAATAATAATAATAATAATAATAGTTACCGTGGTTGTGGTGCATTGAGGATTGTGGAGATATTTTCTAGAAAAGTGAGAAACAAACAGCATAAAAAATTAAATTTATTTAATTTTCAAAAGGTTTAAAAAGGAATAGGAAGCAGCTTTGACCATCCCACTCTGAGCGGTAGCAGAAGCTTGAAGCTCACAATCCAACGATCAGCATTAAATACATTACAACAAACCACCACCCCTAACCACAAGATGCGATTCAAATTCAAATCATCCATCAGAATTGGATTAGAAGAATCCGAAACCCTGGCCCACAAAATATTAATTAAAAAAAGCCCAATTAACTATTTTATGCATATCCATAAACATTGAATAGTGCGAAAATTAATTATAGGAAAAAAACCTAGAAGAATAAACCGCAACCGTTGGATCCATTAGATCGTAGGGTGAATACGCGGCGTTGGGTAATTGTAACTGCGAGTGGTGGATATATAAGAGAGCGTTCACTTCACTCTTTGTAGTCTCTTCTAGGGTTAAATCAGCGCAGCTAGAAAAAAAGGGTTTTGTGAGAGAAACTGAAATCATGAGTTCTAGGTTATCTGGGAAGGTGAAGTGGTTCAACGATCAGAAGGGGTTTGGATTCATTACCCCTGATGATGGTACAGAGGAGCTTTTCGTTCACCAATCTCAGATCCAGACTGATGGTTTCCGGAGCCTTGCTGAGGGTGAATCTGTTGAGTATCAGGTTGAATCTGACTCCGATGGACGATCCAAGGCTGTGCAGGTGACTGGTCCCGATGGCGCGTCTGTGCAGGGAAGCAAGCGTGGTGGTGGAGGAGGCGGTTACGGTGGTGGAGGAGGCGGTTATGGTGGAGGAGGCGGTTACAACAGTGGCGGTGGAGGTGGTTATGGTGGAAGCAGAGGCGGAGGTGGATATGGCGGTGGTGGTGGTGGATATGGCGGTGGTGGTGGTGGATATGGTGGAGGTGGACGAGGAGGAGGACGCGGTGGAGGCGGCGGCGGTGGTGCTTGCTATAACTGCGGTGAATCTGGTCATCTTGCAAGGGATTGCAGCTCCGGTGGAAGCGGTGGAGGTGGTGGTGGAAGGTACGGAGGCGGTGGCGGTGGAGGTGGTGGTGGCGGTGGAAGCTGCTACAGCTGTGGGGAGTCTGGTCATTTTGCTAGAGATTGCCCTACCAGTACCCGTTAGATCTCTGCATGATTTAGTTTGTTTTTAAGTTTTTGGAGTCGCTTTTTTGGTTTTGGTTGTCTTTATATTTTGCATTAGTTTTAGGGGTTTTTGTGCTGGATCTATCTATTATGCGAACTCTTGGTTTTTATAATGAATGAATGAAATGCGGGGCTTATTTTGTTCAATTCATTTTATTGTTGATGGATCTGTGAGATGTCGATGAATAATCTGTGATTTTGTTTAGGATTTATGCCTTAAATTCACAAATTTTTGATTTGGTTGATTCTATGAATCAGACGTTTGGCTTCCATTTGTTATAGTTTTGTACTTTTTCACTTGAAAGTATTCATATGTCTTATTAAACATCGAATGTGCCTTAAATCCTTCTAATGTAGTAATGGTGTTATTTATCACTTGATCGTATACACATGCATGTTATATATATATATTGATTTACTCATCCAAATTAACAAATCAGATAACCCTCGAATTGTTTAACTAATTAAATAATGATGCGTGGTAGAATTTATTGTTCTGTCATTTTTTATTTACATTTGTTAAAATTTCTGTTTCATTTTTATGGAACATAGGTTTTCTCTTGACCTTAGTTTCATCATTATTAATTTGAAACAGTAGGTGATTTGAAATTCAGGTTTCGAATGGTTGAAAATTTGCCCTCTATTTAACTTAATTCAATGTTTTTACCTTCTTATAGTTAACCAATTTCTCAGTTAAATAAATTATTCTGTTTTTTGGAAATTATTGTTTTTATTAAAAATTAATGTTTTATGTTAATTAGTTTAATTATTTCTAGTATTTTATTTTCTATGTATGACAGATTCTAGAAATTTTTTTGGAATTTGTTTTTTCAATTTTGAGTTTATTCTTTTCTTTGTACTGTATTTGATCATGTTTTTAGGATATTTATTCTATTTTCATTTATATTTATATATTTTAAGTAATTTTAATATTGTAATTTACAAATATATCCTCCGCCATTTCTTTTTGGCATAGATTTTTCTCAGCATGTATGTTGTTGGTTGCTTAAAGGTATAATTCGTACTAGTAGTATAATGGAATATAACAATTTCCTATATTGGCTTAATTTTATCTAGGATTTATTGTATTTTTTAATTTAAAATAAAGCTACGGTTAAAATTTTAAATATAAGAATCGAATTTTTACCCTCAATCGAAAAAATTCAATGGAGAGATAATGCCCACACACCTAAAAATTGAAACCAATATATGTTTTACTTGAAACATTTTCTCCTTTCTACCTAGAAAATATTTTATATAGTTTTTTTGCCCCTAGCGTTAGCCGAAAAGCAATTAACTTAAAGATGTTATCATCGTTCTATTAAAGTTACATCTGATAAAAATTAAATCGTTAACCTATTTAATAATTGATTAGATTAAAGGAAAATATTTATAATTGATTTATAGAAAAGACAAAATCAAATGTGATTCACATTTAGCCTAGTAATAAATTAATCTAAATAATATGAAATCATAATAATTGAAGTAGAATAGAGCTTAAAAATACAAGAGAAGAGAAAATATTTGAGTTGATAGAAATTTGGTTTCGGAAATTACCAGAGAGAAGTGGAATTGGTGGAAGCCATAGATCCTGATAATAACAAATGGTAAACAGAAAAAAGAACTGATTGTTAATTATATTAGAAATTGAATCAATTCAGAAAGAACAAATGTTTAAAAAGAAAAAACAGGGGAAATAAGCTTACTAGTGCTTACGCATCAAAAGAACATTAAAATGGATTAGTAGACATAACACAATTTTTGAATCTTTCTTTGCATTTGCTCAACCAATTTTTGAAGCATTGAGACTTCAAAATTAAATAAGTGACAATACGATGAATAGAAAGTGGTTCACAATAGGATAAATAGAAGAGAAACTCAAGTATAAATAAGAGAATGAAATAGGGTGAGTGTTAGGATTTGGAAACATGGTTGATCCAACGTACGAATGGCATGAAATGCTGTAGAGTGTCGTCATTGAGATGACAGAGAAATAATCGCCATAGTGTCGACATGGTTTCATGACCTCATTTTTCAATGTTTCATTATTTCACACATTTAAAATTATTAATAAAGAAATATAATATTAATTTTAACAAATATTAACAAATTTATTATGAGTAAAATCAATTTTTTTTGAACCAAAAGATATATTAATTCAAAAAAATATTATACACAAAGCGATCTTTCATGAACCAGCCCCAAAACTAAAACAACCACACAACAAACACTAAACGCCATTATACCATGAAGAGTGGCCAAGTGTTTTCTAATATTCTTGTTAATCTAACCCCTAAATACAATAGTGTCTATTATATCTATTTCTATCTTGTTTTTGCTAACATCCTTTTCATATATTTTCTCATTTATATACCTCCATATATTGTAAATCGTTTCAACCGCAACACACTTTAGAATAGTATTTCAAAATTTTTATAAACATACCACACTTTTCTAACTTTAATATCAAATTACCACACTTTCAATAAATCATTAAATATCATGTTTTCAAAAAAAAAAAAAAAATTTAAAACACGCCAGCCAATTGATTGGGAGGATCTTCTATATTTTTATTATTTTATTTTCCTGCGGATTTTTCTAGGAAATTTGAATTACTTTAAATTTTCCGTGGATTTTGTTATAGAATTTCTTTTCTGCGGAATTTCCTGCGAATTTATCTATAGATTTTTAATAATTGAGAAATATGCAGGTAAGAATGTTATTTCGCAGGAAATTCCACAGGTAAATCAACAGGTAAAATTCTCAGAAAAATCCACAGGTAATAAATAAATAATTAAAAAAATTACACAACCGTCAAATGAATGGACGAAACCTTTTCATTTTTGTACATTTCCGTCCATTGAATGAGCGAAGCCTCTTTAGCAATAATAATTTTTTTTGAAACTATGGTATATTAGGATATATTGTTGAATTGAATGTTAGGTTGGTATATATTTTCTAAAAGAATGGCAGGACAATAATTTTTTTTAGTATTTCTCCAACATTTGTCTTCACATTTTTTAACCAACCACTCCAATTCCTCTTTCTAATTAGTTGTCAAATGTTGTACTTGGATCCAAGACCTTCATCCACATGATCTGAGTTTCAGAGCAGGCAAACAAAAGGTGTTAAATGGTTTCAACATCATGACAAAATACACAATGATTATCAGCAGTCATACCAAACTGATGCAACCTTTCCTTTGTAGCAAGCTTGTTATTACATGCTAACCATAATATAAACTGAGATCTTGGCCTAACCATGTTGTGATAAAACAATCTAATCCAGTTTACCTTTGGTTCTACATTCTTAATGGCAAGATAGACCTCCTTCATTTTGAACTTGTCACTGTTTTGGATTTTGCTCTGCATCTATGTATATTCCTCCCACTGCTGCAAAATCTTTTCATGATCCAAGAGTGGATGTCCTTAGCATTCACGTTCATCACATTTTATTACTTGATGTAATAAGTGCGAGTTCATTTTATCCACAAGTTGTTAATTTTTTTTTGCTAAGGTTCCAAAGCATCTTCATAATATTTACTTTGTTCCACACAGTCAAGTACCTGAAATTTTTAGGTTGCATACTTTTGCCAAGCTATAGGAGACCTCCTTGTTATTTCTTCGCCATTAGTTCATAGGAAACTTCTGCATATGGAATCAATCTTGTATATTACAATCTTAGGAAGGGACAAACACTGCATCCAAAAATTGACAGTTGCAAAGAGGACACTTTGAATCAATTGTATTCTACCTGCATAAGTTACCAGCTTTTCACTCCAATGATTAATTCTGCTAATAATCTTATCAATCAGAGACAAGTAGTGTTTAATTGCTAACTTTTTATTAGTCAGTGAATACCCAAATACCTAAAAGGTATCTTCATTATTTCATCTTTAGTATTCTCTTCAACTGCTCAAAAGTAGATGTAGCACTTTCTAGAATTAACTTTCAGCCTTGTAGACCAAGAGAATTTGTTGAAGGTATCTATCACAAGTTTAATCGACTTGCTATCTCCTCTAGAAAATAACAACAAATCATCTGCAAAACTGAGACTTATCATTTTCATTTTCTCACATTTTGTATGATAGTTAAAATCAGGCACTTTGTTCAATTGCTGCAAATGTATTGTTAAGTACTCCATTAACAACATAAATAAGAGAGAGTAAATTGGATCTCCTTGCTGTTAGCTCCTAAATTAGACACCTACAACAAGTTGGCCTTATGGGCCAAAAATAGTTTGAACAAGTCTAAGTTGGAAATGCTTCGACAAAGCAGAAAAGTACTTGGAGAAATTCTAAGTTAAAATTGAGTCTTCGACCAAAAAGGTTCTCAATCCCTTCGACTGAAGAGACTCCAAGGTCTTCGAATAGAAGGGAAATTTGTGCCTTCCCCAGAAGATTTTGAATCTGAAGAAAGGAGGGAAAAGCAGTTCGCTTGGCAGTTGAGAAAAGCAACGTGGCATGAAAATAGGGGTCGAAGCACATGCAGAAGACAATTGTCTTCATCCTAGAGCAAGACAACTCCTCGACGGTTACTTGGTTTTAATATAAATATAGGAAGTTTATGTAGATTTCCGTGTGTTCAACTTATCGTACAAATTATTCAATACTATTCAAGTACCCGCTGCGTGACAAAGAATACTGAAAAATGTACGTTTGAAACACCACATTTTACAATCAAAGTCTTTTATTTATCTCTTTACATTTCTTGCCATTTTATCTTGTTTGTACTTTATCTGCACTTTTACCCATATTCCTGTACCTAAACTCTCCTCGACCCCTTTGTTCTATTTACTTTCTGCACTCAAACTCATCCCTTTCCCAGTCAAACGTGCGTTCTTCACCCACATTAACGTTTGTACCCAAACAACATCACAAATTAGCATATGTCCTGCGAGTAACCAAAAAGTTACCCTTTTTGGAAGGTCAGCGGTTATTTACCAGAAAACACGGTGAATAAATTGGCACACCTGGTGGGA